CCCCCCCCCCCCCCAGCCCAAACGTTGTAAGTTTACATAGCTCCACAAAGCATGTACTTGAGTGACTTTTATTGAACATCAAAAACTTATATAAATTTTTTAGATATTAGTAATATAGCCTTTCCCTAACCTACAAAAACAGTCTTGCTTTAAAAAAATGAAAATTTTAGTAAAATATTAAAGATCCCATTCTTTACCCCCTCTCTAGTCACCAACTGGCTTTCGGCCATTTTGCTGTACTGACAATAGTTAAATAGGTGCAAAATATATTTTTGGCTTAGTTTCCTGTTTTGATGAGTTTATTTCAGTAATATAGGGAATTATAAACTTATGTAACCAAATTCATGAATATGTGACCCAAATTAATTAAAATCATTAACAAAATACTTCTCAACCCCCCCCTCAAATGTTGTAAGTTTACATAGCTCCACATAGCATATACTAAAGTGACTTTTATTGAACGAAAAAATTTTGTATAAATTTTATAGAAATAAGTAATATAGCCTTTCCCTAACCTCCAAAAACAGTCTTATTAAAAGAAAATGATAGTTTTAGTAAAATATTAAAGACCCCATTCTTTACTCCCTCTCTAGTCATCAACTGGCTTTCGGCCATTTTGCTATACTGACAATAGTTAAATGGGTGCAAAATATATTTTTGGCTTACTTTCCTGTTTTGATGAGTTTATTTCAGTAATATAGTGAATTATAAATTTGTGTAACCAAATTCAGGAATATGAGACAAAAATCTATTAAAATTATCAACAAAATTCTTTTCACCCCCCCCCCCCCCAACCTAAACGTTGTAAGTTTACATAGCTCCACATAGCATGTACTTGAGTGATTTTTATTAATAAAAAAAACCTGTATAATTTTTATAGAGATTAGTAATATAGTCTTTCTCTAACCCACACAAACAGTCTTGTTTAATGAAAATGATAATTTTAGTAAAATACTAGAGATTCCATTCTTTACACTTTCTCTGGTCATGAACAGGCTTGCAGAAAACTTTGAATCATATCAAAAAATTTTGTTTCCTAATTTTTGAAAATCTTCAGGACTTTTTTTAAGGTTGATAAATGAATATTTATAGCTTGTTAGTTTGGTGAACAGGTTTTGTTATGGAGACATTTTTGTTACCTCAAGTAAACAAGATTATTAAAGATCATTGTAATAATATTGAATTGTGTGAAATTGTTGAATTTAAAACAAAACAATGGACATTGTTTTTCTTCAAAATGTTTTCCACTGTTGTAAACAAAATGATGAAATGTCAGTATAGTCTAGAGTTTTTTATCATTCAGTTGAGAAGAATTCCAGAGCCACACAGCATACTGCAGTGTCAGCAAGAAAGATCTCATGGGTTCCATGTGGACATGATGGACATGTTAAGTTTGACTAGTTGATGAGAGAAAAAAAAGGGAATAGGAACACTTTTGCACCTACCCACATTACTTTCAAAACAACTGAGATTAGTTACAGGGCAGTGGCAACTTCACACTTTTATTGATGGATTCTGAAGACCATTACCAGATGTATAATAATCAAATATCATCAGAAATGAAGGGCACGTTAATTATTCCAAAGAGTGAAAGTAGTACAAATCAAAGGAAAATATTTTGATGGTAATCAATATGAGCTCACTCAGAGGTCACTCGCAGGGGCCAGTCTTAACAGAATTGACAAGGTTATCATCCCTGTGCTTGGCTTTATTAAGACATGTCATGTAGGTGGTGATGGAGTTAACTTTTGGATAATATATAAGGAATTATCTGAATCAATCATCTGCTGCTAATGTTATACATTCATTAGTCACTTCTAGGCTGGGATGTCCAGATGATAGGATTAAAAGATAACAATGCATCCAGAATATTTCAGAACAGCTTTTCATGTAACAGCCTAGAAACTTGTCACATTATTCCAGTTTTAAAGCAGCTGCATTGGTTATCAGATAGGGCTAGAATTTTAAAATATTTAGTTTTTACACGTTGCTTTCTCTAATGTAGCTCCAGCATATATAACTGATCTGGTAAAAAATCATAACTTTTACTGAAAATTGCCATTATAGCAGGGTAAAAAAATATATGGTGACATGTAATTTTGTATAGCTTCACTGTTGGAGTAGAACAAGGTGTCAATTTACTGAAGGCAGATAGAAACAGAAATCTCTTATAAGGAATTAAACACACATTTTTAAAGATGTTTTATTGCTGAATTTTGTTCAATTTTTAAAATATACATTATGTAAGGGAAGTATTGGGTCTTTTAATTACTGCTTAGTCAAACGTTTTAACATTTATAATTAATATAATATATATAACTGTAATATATAAATATATCTTATAAGGTATTAAAGATTTTTAAAGATATTTTATTAATGAATTTTGTTCACTTTTGAAAATTTACATTAAGTAAGGGAAGTATTGGGTCTTTACTTTTAATTACTGCTTAGTAGTCAAACATTTTAACATTTATAATTTATAAAATATATATAACTGTAATATATATATATGAGAGATCATGTGAGAAAATGTTGTGTGATCACAGTGGTCATTTTTTAATACCGCACTGGACATGTCTGAACTTAAATACATGTTTGGGAGGGAATGATACAGGGTGGTTTCAAAACCTGAACAATAACTATCTTCCAACACCAACAAGAAAGGTAACTAGGTTTCCTACAAGAAACCCATGTATAATTCCTTATACAACAAAAGTATGTGTTTGAGAATCTTTCAACTGTTATACAGATGTGTTTTACCTAACAATGTTGAAAGTGGTAACTTTATTTGGAATAAGTCATAGCTTCAAAACAACCTGAGCAAAAACATTTTCAACAGTCTGAATTGGTTTCTGCTAATACTTTGCAAAAGTTGATTTTCTGGTCCAACTATTGTACTATGCGATTAAAAAAAAGTTACACCTATTCCCGCCTTAACCATTTCACTCTTGATCCCTTTAGTGTCTTTTGTCACCGCCTTGTAAGGTTTAATTACAATAATAAACAACGTACTACAAATTTTTTTACTTTAATGTCTCCGTTCAAGCTAAATATTCAATAAGACAACTAACTACACATAAATCAGAATCATCTTTGTATGCTTTCAAGACTATTACCAGCTGTTTCATTTTTGCACTAGACTGTTTTGCTAAAGAAGTATCACAAAAGATTCCTCACTGAACACTGAAGTTCCTGCAATTTATAAAGTTACAACATTTCTGTAAGTAAACTTAGTATTGTGTTTTGGTGCTTTGTCTCCTGGAAAGCAGGATAATTTCCATAGCCCACAAAGAAAGTCCTTTTCCTTCCAACTCTTACAAGTCACATGCCATCAGATGAAGTCTGTTCCACAGTGGATGAACTCGATTGGGATCCTGAAGTAATGATAGCAGTTTTGTTGTGCAGTAATAACGCCATAGGAGCTGCAGTAACCGTGGGAAACAATTCCTGTTGTCCACCTGGTGCGATGAGGATTACTTCTGCCTGGTCTGTCTGGATCTTTGCAAAATTCGTGGCAGCAAACTGAAAGGTGGAAAGCAATATGTTAGTCTATAGCAGGTTCATGACTGTATCATACAATCAATGCTCAAAGTGTGGGGGTCAGGCTTCCATACGAAGTACTTTGATACCTTGTAATTCAGATATGATGCACAAAGGTCTATTTCAGTTTGATCTAAAATGTCAGTAATTTTTGTACACACATCTGGTCTAAGTGGTTATAAAATATTATTATGAAATAATTGTCTTTATTCTTTATCATCACAAACATTCTGCACACCAGGTAAATGTGATACTGATAGCCAAATATCTTGCTGAATGCAAAAATCCCATATTTTATGTGCCACTGCATTGCACAATTACCACCCATATTCCTCAAAAAAAAAAGCCACTGCAGTCAAATTATCAATTTCAACATGAATATGTTTACCCTTCAATTTTTTCTAACAGGACTTCAAAGCTAAGAGTATTGCTTTACCCTCTGAAACATTTTCTTTTGCTTTGATTTAAGTAAGTTTTTGTAGCTCTCTAGTGCATACAACCATATTCTACAACAGATATGAATGAAACCAGACAACCAATCAACTGTGCCTTCTGCTTCAGTAGAATTCCCCTGTAATATTTTTCAATATAAATAATTTTTCAGCTCTGGTAGGAGTTAAACCAATTGTCATAGCTCTTAACTACTAGTAAACACTGACGTGTTGTCAGAGATTTGCTCTTCACTACTACAGTAAACACTGACATGTCTTCAGAGATTTGCTCTTCACTACTAGCAAACACTGACGTGTCATCATAGATTTGCTCTTCACTACTAGTAAACACTGATGTGTTGTCAGAGATTTGCTCTTCACTACTATACTAAACACTGACATGTCATCAAACATTTGCTCTTCACTACTATACACTGACGTGTTGTCAGAGATTTGCTCTTCACTACTATAGTTAACAATGACATGTCATCAGAGATTTGCTCTTCACTACTATAATAAACACTGACATGTCATCAAAGATTTGCTCTTCACTACTATGCACTGACGTGTTGTCAGAGATTTGCTCTTCACTACTACAGTTAACAATGACATGTCATCAGAGATTTGCTCTTCACAACTATAATAAACACTGACATGTCATCAGAGATTTGCTCTTCACTACTAGTAAACAATGATGTGTCATCAGAGATTTGCTCTTCACGACTATGTACTGACGTGTTGTCAGAGATTTGCTCTTCACTAATATAGTTAACAATGACATGTCATCAGAGATTTGCTCTTCACAACTATAATAAACACTGACATGTCATCAGAGATTTGCTCTTCACTACTAGTAAACTGACGTGTCATCAGAGATTTGCTCTTCACTACTATAATTAACACTGACATGTCGTCAGAGATTTGCTAATCACTACTATGGTAAACACTGACATGTTGTCACAGATTTGCTCTTCACTACTAAACATGAGAAAGACATTCATACCTGACTTTTTTTAAAATCCATTTGCTTCTGGATATTATGTTGCATATTCTTCAGTGAGCCAGCTTTTATGAGGCAAAAGATTCCCTATCTATATTATATATTTGTTATAATTTATTGCTTTAATAAATTAATATCTTATTAGTATATCATGCGACAAGTAAATGCCTCCTACATTTAGTTCTTCAGAAAGGATTTCCTTTATTTTACATCATAAAACAAATAATCCAAATAATTGGATTGATAGCACCTAGCCAATGTAGATAGCTCTGTCTCTTTACCAAATCTAAAACAAAATATGGTTTGGTATTTATGGAGGCAAACATTAATTGACCAAAAAACAAAAAATTAGTGTAAATGTAAACTCACCATGCTGATCTTTTAAAGCAACCTGTTTCTTTACCAAACAAAGTCACTCAGTAAAAAAAGTAAAACAGAAATATGGTTTGTCACTTAAATATTAGGCAATGTCACCAAAATTGTACAAAAAAAATAATAAAATAAAAAAAATTATTACTGTGAGTGTAAACTGATCTTGCTGATTTTCGACCTGCTCTTACAACACACAGTCATTCAGTAAATTTAAAGTAGAAAAAAAAAATGTTTGGCAGTTTTGGGGGCTAAGTCAAGTGTCGGACAGCTACAGTGATGATGCAGACATACAGACCAATCAGAATATACCGTACATGATCACTTACAATGTCTGTATATAAAAATTATTAATCTTGACACTACTTTGCTGTGATTACATGATGGGCAATGCGAATGGTCAAAATATGCTGCCATATAACTGACAACTGCACTCTGCTAGAGGTTGCCACGGCTACTAACCTACTTTAGTTCAGTGAAGAATAGACAACCCACTGTTCTAATTTTACATTGTCACCAAACCAACACCAGCACCAATTCAGTCTTTCTGTTAAGACGAAGGCCACTAGTCAGCAATTTTAAAAGTGGTTCTATTTCTGAAAAAGTGGACCTTTTACCAAGAAACCCTCATGTGCCTCAATAAATTTTTACCCAGGGGGTCATTTTCCCATAAAACCCTCCCTCCCACTAGAGAGGGCAGTTATTTCAAGTCATTGGTCCGACCACCATGAGAATGCATCCTCTTATTATGCATCCCCTAGAATGATAAAAATAGCAATATGTGTATCTCAGTGAATTTTTTAATGGCATGTTTGTTAGTAAAGCCTGAAAAACCCTACTTTTATACCTTTCTGCTTTTAGATTTTCAGACATCTGGCAAATAACACCAGAGAGACTTATTGTTTAGTAAAATGATTATGTTAAGAACTGGCAAATACATATAGCTTAGTGATGTAAATGCTCTCACAGTCCACCCCATTGATTACTAATTTCAATGCCTGTTAGATCTTTTTAAATATCTACTGATGGCAGTAGGAAGCCCACAATCACAGCTCCAGTCCACTCATTTAAAATGAACAATACATTTGGAAATCAGACTCGGCTGAAATGTCCTGGAAGATTAGTAAACTATAACTGAGATTAGCAAATCAAAACACCAAAGCAGGATTACATGTTAATCACCCCTATGATGAACTTAAAAAAATTCTGATTGCTGTTGCTTAAAAATTCCTGGAAAAAAGAAAACATAAAAGTTGGAAGCGTGATGATATTTGTGTTAGATCATTTATTAACAAATTTCTAATTCAGTTCAATTTAAATTCCAATTTACAGTAGTATATAAAGCATACAAAATACATACAGATACTGGACACAGGTACTTTACTTCATTTATCATACATATGCATGTGTGTGTGTGTGTGTGTGTGTGTGTGTGTGTCAATAGTTTAACACTTCAAAGGTAAACAGGTTTTATATGAAATCAGTTAAACAGAGATACCTAGCAAAGTAATTAACTAGTAAGTGACCACTCCAAGGTAGATAACAGAGACAAGGAACCTTGACAGTCAGATTGGCATCTAGCCAAACCTGTTAATATTTGCACTTGCCAGTAATACCAGTAATTAACTCTTGCCTGAGTCTATTCAGTATGCAATTCCAGGATGTAGAATCTAAAACAGACGAGCAAGATTTTACTGATTTACTTTCTTTGCTAAACACAGAAAAGCATACTCAAACTATAGTTCAGGTGGAATAGTTCTTGGGTGTAAAAATCAATTAGCCAGCTCTATAGAACCACTTGAAACTGACTCACAAGTCTTCCAATGGTTTCAAATTGATGAATCATGTCTAGACTTTGCTGATGACTATATCCTAGATGTTGTGTATATACCTAACTACAGCTCACCAGATGCGATTGATAAAACTGAAAGAGAATTTCTTGTCATAAGCTCTTCATGTGATAAAATTTGCTGAATAGAGGACTTTAATGCTTGA